TCTCTGTTAAAAGACCAGGTGGGGCAGTGTGATATTGTGATCTATAATAAGAAATATATATTGGGGGCGCCTGGGTGTCTCAGTGGGTTGAGGGTTGGACTTGGGCTCAGGTCATGATCTCATGGTTCGTGGGTTCAAGGCCTGCCTGCTTCAGATACTCTGTCTCCCTCTCTCTCTGCCCCTCCCCTGACCTGACCTCTCTCTCTCTCTCAAAAATAAACAAACATTAAAAAAATATATCTATATATCTGGTATTCAACCCCGGGACTGGCACAGAGCTCCTAAAACCATTGGAATTTCCTGTGGTAAGAGCAATAAAAGTCTCTTTTGTTGTGTTAATGAGTGACTTTGGGAAAGCCCTTAGGTAACCTAAGGATGGGGGCCTGGTTGCCAGGGGAACCAATCTTCTGAGGAAAGGGCTGGAACTTTCAGTAAACCATCCCCCACCCCTACCTCCTGGGAGGGGAGAGGGGCTGGAGGTTGGGTTGATCACCAATGGCCAATGAGCTGCTCAATCATGACTAAGTCACGCAACCTCAGTAAACACCCAGAAGGCTTTGGAGAGCTTCCTTCCGGGATGGAGACCACGTGGAGGGGCCAGACATTGGCGCCCCCAGAGAGGGCATGGAAGCTTCTTACCCTTTCCCTACATGTTGCCCTACGCATCTCTCTGGCTGTTCCTGAATTGTATACTTTTATAATAAACTAGTAATCTAAGAAGTAAAATGTTTCTCTGAGTTCCGTGGGCTGCTCTGGTAAATTAAGGGAGCCTGAAGAGGGGATCCTGGGAGCCTCTGACTTCTAGCCAGTAGGTCATAAGCAGAGGTAACAACCCCGACTTAAGACTGGCTTCTGCAGTGGGGACAGTCTTGTGGACTGAACGCTAAAGTTGTGGGACCTGTTAATATCTCTGCATACACAGTGTCACCACTGAGATGACTGTAGGGCCCCCAGCGGGTGTCCAACCGATGCTTGCCGATGTGGGACCCTCTCTCCAACCCCAACACACACCGGAACGGGGACTGCAGCGTTTTTTACAAACCATGAACCACGTAGGTCTTAGCTCCGGTTACCATAACAAAATACCACAGAGGGTGGCTTCAACGAGAAATGCGTTTTCTCCCAGTTCCGGGGCCCGGAGGGCTGAGATGAGGGCGTGAACTGGTCAGGTGCTGGCTGTCCTCACACGGAAGGGTGTATGAAGAAACAGGGATGACCCCTCAACTTCTTATGAGGCCACAATCCTCTCTGACTAGGGTTCCGCCATTATGACCTCCCTTTAACCTTAATTACTTCCTGAAGACTCTATCTGTGGACATGGTCACATTGGGGGTTAGGGCTTCAACGGACGGATTTTGAGGAGGCACAGGCTTAGTCCTTAGCAATAGACAAACAGCACACAGATAGGAACAAAGGCTTGGCATTCGTCGTGATCATGTCTTTCCTGACATCACTCTCGTTCTTTTTCTGGCTTCTTGAGTCGAACATGTAGTTCATTTGTTTTTCATTTTTTTTTTCTTTTTGGAGAAGTATATTGGAGATGCCGTCTTTCGTACAAGTATCGCTTAATTCCATTTGCCAGATTTTGCTGTTTCAGCTCCAAGTATTTCCTGATTTCCCAAGTGAGATCCTTTCTCACGCAAGGTTCCGCAAGGTCATGGCATTCTTGTGTTTTAAATCTTTTGCTCTTTTCATAAGTATATAATTTCCCTCTTCGCTACCACATTGGTTTTGTCTGGAGCTTTACCTCCAGATTGCCACAGATACACTTTTTATGGACAGGTAAAAGACAAAACGGGGAAGTCTATTTGCTAGATAAGAGACCAGAGTTCTGTCTCTACTGTCTTGGCATCATTCGTTCACTCTGTGAAAGGGAGTTCTAATATTGGCTTACTGAAGTCATTTTGCTCAATAGCAGAGGAGATGAAGGGTAGGTACGCTTTCATCAGTCGGATCGGCCAGGCTGTGCTGTATTTGCAATCAACCCGCAAAGTCTCAGGAGCTGAGCACAACCGAGTTTGTTTTTTGATCGTGCTACATGCCATCAGCGGCTGGAACTTTCTTAACCTTGTTCAGTGTGGAGAATCGAGTAGGTCGTGGATAAGAGGGGTTCCATCCATTGTCTCGTGCAACTGCCAGGCAGGAAAAACACATTGCCATTGGGGAATCTCCCACTGTCTGCCCAACGCTTCTGCCCAGAACATACCATTTCACTTCTGCTCAAGTTTCATTAGCCGGAGTCATACCTAACTTTAAGGGGCCAAGAAAATAGATCTCTCCTGTGTCAGCCACAGGAGAGCGGACAATATTCCAAAGCCAATTTTTGCTTCTTGTTGGTCTGTTGGTTTTCATTATGGGAGTTATCATACATCCTTCCAGTAAATTTCTTCGATTAAAAAACCAAGCCAAGCTGAAGTTAGCCAGGGTTAGTTTGTATTGCTTCAAAAAGAAAAAAAGCCACAGAAGGCATTGGACTTGGCATTGTATATGCTACTGAGCAGATTAGGAAAGTGAACTCTGCCTTACACTCCGGGCTGGTGTGAAGAAAGGGCACACACGTATTTTTCAAGGAAGAGGTTTAAAGAAATAGGGCATGGCAGGAGCCAATGTTTAGACGAAAATAACTATGGGTAGCCACCGCACGTCAGGCAAGGAGTCGGGTATTCATGCAGATGCTACCTAAGTTCATTTCTTTTTTTTTTTTTTTTTAATTTTTTTTTCAACGTTTATTTATTTTTGGGACAGAGAGAGACAGAGCAGGAACGGGGGAGGGGCAGAGAGAGAGGGAGACACAGAATCGGAAACAGGGTCCAGGCTCTGAGCCATCAGCCCAGAGCCCAATGCGGGGCTCGAACTCCCGGACCGCGAGATCGTGACCTGGCTGAAGTCGGACGCTTAACCGACTGCGCCACCCAGGCGCCCCTAATTCTTTATAAAAACAATTTGAGGGGAGTCTTATTATCTGTGACTTATATACGCAGAAGCTGAGGCTCAGAGAGGAGGCATGACCTGTCCGAAAGCCACTTAAGCCAGCAAAGGACAGCTTTGCTTTAACTCTATCACCTGAGCATACAGCGGTGAAACGGAACTGCGCAAGGTGTATGTTGGGAGGGTAGGTACCCTTTGGTTTGGGGCGACTGGGAGTCACATGAAAGGTGGGAGGAGACCTTGAGTCCAAAGGGAAAGGGGTTGGAGCTTATTAATTAGGCAGTGAGAGGGAGGTTTTGAGCCATAGAGGGCATTAGCAGCAGAGCTATGATCGATTGACTCCTTATTGATCTGCTATTGATATCTGGACTGATTGGAAATGAGGCACCCTGGCGGCCTGGAGACCAGCTGGAGGAATGTTGTAAAAACTCTGAGAAGCCTGAATGAGCATGGGTCTTGGCAGTGGAAACAGAAAAAAAAAAAAAATTCTGTCGAGTCTCCAGACCCATCAGGAATTGCTGAATGAAGTCTGAGTTCTATGTAGGTGGCTCCTACTTTTCATTACAGGTTTCTCAGAAACTTGCTCCCAGAAAAAGCCTGGATCAGAAGCAGGAAAAAAATAGGCAACTGCCGAAGTGAGAAGTCTACAGAACTCCTTCCCCCGCAATCACCTCTTTCCTATCAGTTATGGGGCCTGACCCTTCACCAATGCCCTTTATTCCATTGAGAGTCTCTTACTCAAGTGTGACTGTTTGGGGACAAGAGGCAGAAGGGACGCTGGCAGGTTTCCTCATTGGCAATGCCCAGGCAAGTAACAGAAAGGTGTGGGAAGGATCTGGGTGGCCTCTGTGAAGAACAGGGCACACGTTTTCCATACAGTGGGCTTCTCAGCTCAGGGCCCAAAGTTGCTGAGTCTCCTGTTTCAACAGAAACCTCACACCCAGATTTTTGAGGGTGGGAGCAAGCCCTCAAGTTAAACATATTGCAACCAGGGGCGTCTGGGTGGCTCAGTTGGTCAAGCGACCATCTCTTGATTTCGGCTCAGGTCATGATCTCACGGTTTCGTGAGTTTGAGCCCCACCTCGGGCTCTGTGCAGCCAGCTCAGAGCCTGTTTGGGGTTCTCTCTCTCTCTTTCTCTCTCTGCCCCATCCCCATGCACACTGTCTCTGTCTCTCTCAAA